TAACATTTTAATATTCCTTCTAAATATATCCTACTTAAATGACCATTACAAACGCCTCATATTCTTAACTGAAATCCCTAATTCTAAAACTGACCCCCGATTAAATGCCATATGTTTTTAATAACAAAACTTTTCCCTCTATTCATATGCTAAAAGCATTTATTTTTCTCAAATATTACAGGTTATTTTCCATGGGGAAGGACACTGCATTTTATTGCTCGATAATACAGCATACTTTAAAAGTATTAATAAGCAAACATTTTCATTTAAAGTTCTTAAGTAATCATTACTGAGTACATGTTTTTTCAGATGACATGACTACAATATGTTGTGTTAATCCTATGAAAATTCTGAATTGTGATAGGATTAATATTTTCAAAGCATAATAACAAATAATATCTACAGATAGTACTATTATGAGTGTAAAATTCACATCCTGACCTCTCTTGAAATCTGTAGAAACATTGTCTTTGTAATTACCTCCTTACAAAGTTAAATTTCTTTCATAATTTGCTTAAATAATATGATTCATAAATGAAAAACTACCACGATGGTATTTCCAGATACACATCACGCCTCACTAACCCCACAACTTCCCAAACTATCAAGAGAAAACTGATTCCCTTCAACTTTTGAAGCCTGAAAGGCTTAATATCTTGTGCTTCGTCTCTGTGACCACTAGATGACGCCTTCCTTTTTGGTTTCAATTACTACAGATAAATAATTTCAGGATGGAAAAGGCAACTGTTTGAGAGTGCATAAAACGCATAATATTTATACTATTTCTTGCATCTCATAGCAGTGCATTGTTTCCAAAGATAAACCTAAAAATATATGTTTAATTTCATTTCTCTGACCAAATATATCAAGTGTATTAACTTTTCTCTAAATAATTTTATTTACAAGTTTAATTAGCTGAAGTTTACCTTCTAAAAGCCAATTGAAAAAGTTAAAATCTAGTAATTATACCCGATTCCACTGCACCATAATAAAGAACGATTAATATGGGCAACCTGGAATAGTCTGAGCTTGGTATTTGTGATAAAATATAAAAACAAAGTGTCTAATTTCTCATTATTTCTCCCATAAGTCCTCTTGCTGACTGATTTTGAATGGGTTATAACTGCCATCGAGTGTTAGGATTCATTTAAGTCATGAAAATGCACAAAACCAACATCAACATTGTACTGAGTTTTCAACTTAACAACATATGTTCTGCATAAAACAAAGCATAGCAAAACTGTGCCATCCTATGGCACTTATCAGAATTTCAAAATGCAACGTCATTAAAATCTCCCAAATAAAGTTGTAACTCGTTAATATGGACATATTTTGCTGTTTACTTGATATACGTGGCAAACAGACTCTAACATGACGCCCAATGATTTTCTGCCTCTTGGTGTGCATCTCTTTGTTTAATACTCTCTCTTTGAGTCCAAGTAGGACCTGGACCTTGCTTCTAACCAACAGAATATGGCAAAGGTAATGGATGTCACAAATGTCAAGCCCATAATTGTGATACGCACAGTGTATTTATTGTGTGTGTATTTATCATGCTAGGAAGCACTAAGGGGGTTCTTTTTTTCTGATTTAATGGAGTGAGCAGTCACACTGAGGGTGTCCAGGGCAGGGATCAGTGTGTAGCATCTAGGAACTGCTGTTGTCCCCTAGGATCTGTGGGTGGCCTGTAAACCTAAATCCTTCAGCCAACAGACAGCTAAAAGCCAGGGCTCTCGGTTACTCAGCCACAAGAAAACAAATTCTGCAGAATGTGAATAATATTGGGAGCAGATTTTTCCAACTTGAGCCCCAGGATGAGAACCCAAACTGCCAGATGCCTTGATCACAGCCTTGGTGAGACCCAGGACAGAAGACACAACTAAGCCATTCCTGAATCCCTGACACTTGGAAAATCTGAGAAAACAAACGTATGCTGTTTTAAGTAACTAAGTTTGTAGGAAATTTTTGTGCAGCAATATAAAACTGACATAACATATAATAATATGGTAAATGTGTTGTATTTTAATATAAAATCAAAACATTTCATTTTACAGTATTTAAAAATATAGATGAATTAAAATGTCTTTAAAAAATTTCTTAATTGCATTTCTGACGGATGTGCTTAACATTTTGGGGTTAATTTTCTTGAGTGATTTACCAGTAAATGAACAATTCATATTATAATGCCAATGTGTTGAAAAAACTAAAAATCATGAATTGTAATTAGCCATTTTTCTTAATAAAAGGAAGAGTGGGGCAAGACAATATTGCATTAATATTTTTAATAGGGAAAATGAATACGAAAGATATAAAACTCACCATGAAAAAAAAGTGTACGAAACCAGTATTATTTGCATAAAGTTCACAACAAATGATTAAAAAAAAGTCTTTAATTATCTGTGAGTTAATCTTCTATTTTAAAACAAGAAAGAAACTGACGGGAATTCCACTATAGCAACATGGTCAATTTCTAAAGCTCTCAATTAAAACCTAATATCGTATAGCACATTTATTCTTAGAAAAATAAATTTGGAATATCACCATTCCATTTTGAGATAAATAGAGCAGGGTGAGTGTAACTGCCAAATGTATGAGTCTACATAGAGAAAGGGACACGGGAGGCTAAAAGTGCCAGTATTCTGCACTTTGAGTCAAGCAGGCTCATCTTCAGCCAACCACAGAGCAAATAAAACTGAATGAAACCTGGGCAATAGTTGGAGTCTTGATCCAGGACCTTACCCACTACCTTTCCCCCATCCCTCCCCCACCCATAACTGTTCTCGGTTTTCAACCAGGAATGCATAAATAACCTTTGCAAGCTTCACTGCTTTCCCACATTTTGCTTCTCATTTAATGGAGGCATGTATAGACTAGATTCCCAGTGGGCAGTTTCATTTTGCACAATTCCACTCACCATAGGAAAGTAATATGGGGATATACTATGTAATAGTTTTCTCTAGGATCAAGCCTGGTAGTACAGGCTTGATGTTTCTAAAAGGTGGGACAAGAAAAGGATACAAGGGCGGGTACCTAGTTTTTCATCAGGCACAGGGTCAGTTATCTTTATATATACTGTATCAATTTCTTTGAAAGTCCTAAAGTATTTAAATAAGATAATAATGATATTTAACAGTCACTGAGTGCTTACTGGGCATCTGCAGCAAGTGCTTTAATGCAGTGGCTTGTTTAAACCTTAACACAACACTATGAAATGAGGCACTGTAACTATACTAACGGTATGGGTAAGGAACTGAAAGCTTACTGAGGATCGTAATTGGTGATATGAAATTAAAGCAAGTCTACTTTTTCAATAGCCCTTATTTTCTTAGTTTTAGGTTCACACCAAAATCGAGCACAAGGTATGGAGATTTCCTATATACTCCCTCCCCTGACTCATGTATAGCCTCCCCCATTATAAACCTCCTCCATCAGAGTGCTATACTTGTTACAGTGGATGACCTACACTGAATCATCTTTATTACTGAAAGCCCACAGTTTACATTAGGGTTCACAGTTAATGTAGTACATTCTGTGGATTTAGCTAAATGTATAATGACATGTATCCGCCATGCAGTATCAGAATAGGTTCATGTCTAGTTAAATCAAAGCCCACAATCTTAATCATAACACTGTAAAGGCTCCCAATGTATGTGTTGTCTGGCCAATAAAGGGACAAAAAGAAAGGACACACGGGCATATTTGTATTCTCAAGAATCAGCGGTATAAAACCTGGTAATGTTTAATCAACAGGACATTTGCGTGTTATATTACAGTTAGCAAAGTGCTTTCTCATATTGATTTCATTTGCTCATTACAAAAGACCTATTTAAGCGGGTGTGTAGTATTGGTAGCAACATCTTTTAAGGATTTAGGCTCTCCAGTCAAGCACGCCTGGGCTTAAATACTAGCCCTGAAGTTCATTAGGCCCACGACCCTGGGCAATTAAACCTCACAATCCCCTAACCTGTGAGATATGGTAACAGTGACTACCTCACAGGATAGACGTGAGGACTACGTGCCATGGGCACACATCCGCAATGTAACGCAATAAACGTTTGCGGTCTTGTTTCACGCAGCATGAACTGCAAGTCCAAGAATTAGAAGATTAGGCACTAACCATAAGGTAAGGAGTGGGGCCCAGTTTTCTAACTGAAAGAGCTTTCTCTTTCCCCCTCGGCTCCTCAAAGGTATAGGATATGTGTTTTTCAATACACAGTTCTCCCACCTCCGCTCCCCCGCCCCAGCCAGCATTCAATAGGTTCAGCCAAAGGTACGTCTTCTGTATCCCCATGCCTGGACGTGATACGAAGGATTCAAATAAACTGCCTCAATCGGTTCCTGAGTGGAGCAGCACAAACCCCTCTTGGCCTCTCAAAAACTGCGTCACAAGCCCCCGGCGAACGTTCATGGCGCACCTCGTTCTGGCCAGAACCCCACCTCCACGCAGAGCAAGAACGACCTCAACCCCAATTGGCTGTCGCCCAGGGCAACCAAGGACGCGGCGGGCACGCGAGGGGCTCCGGCCGGTATTTAAAGGCTGCCCGCTGTCCCCGCACCACAGTCCCGCCAGGACGGCGACGGTGAAGCACCTGGGTTGAGAGGGAGCAGCAAGGTAACGCGCAACCCCTGCCTCTCCCGTCCCCAGCCCAAGCCTCCACCGAGGCGGGTGTGTGTGGGACCCGGGAGCGGCTCTCGCTGCTTGTCGCCCATCAACATTTTCCTCCCCCACCATCTTTATACAGCCCCAGTCCCACCCAACCCACCTGGGCAAGACAACCCGGGTGCAGAGGACAAGCGATCACACAGACCAGCGAGTGAGCTAGCGAGCGGAGAAGAGGGGTCCCCCTGTAGAGGAAAGGCGGGATCTCAGCGACAGGCACGTGGTGCTTCGAGGCTGACAGCGAGGGTGACAGCGAGGCTCTTCAGACGTCAGATCGGGCCAAATTTGAAGTCAGCTTCTAGGACGCTTCTCTTTTAGATCTCTCGAAGCTTCCTGAGCCATGACCCAGACCCTCGACAAAAGAGAAGACCCTCTTAACCTTGGCGGAGGCTGGGCATCATCCGCCCCGTTTCGCACCTGGTCTTCCTGCAACCGAAGGCGCAGGAACGCCCCGATTTACAAGCGGCGGCACCGCTATGGCCCCAAGGCCGAGTATGAGCCCCCCAGGAAACAACCGAAGCAACAGCACGGCCAGGGCCCGTGGTTCCAACCACCTCGAAGTTCCAATTGGGCTATGTATTCTAACTGGGGGCGCTGGGGAGGGCCCTGGTGCCCACCTCCGGCGGGATTCTGGAAGCCCCCGGGCCGGGTGCAAGTGATCCGAGTGTATGGCTTGCACCCTCTCTGCCTTTGCTGCTGCTCCTGCTGGCGCGGGCCCTGGAATCCCTGCTGGGCGAGGCCCCCTGGCAGGAAGAAGCGCTGGGGCCGGAGGGGCCGCGGCCTGCGCCGCCACCCTCGCCGTTCCTTCCCGAGGAGCCCACCCGTGGATCTGAGCACGCTGCTGCGGCCGGTCAACCTGTACGGGTGGCGGGCACCAGGCATGCGGGCACCACGCAACACCACCCAATTCATCATGAACCAGATCTACGAGGATATGCGGCAGCAAGAGAAGCTGGAGCGCCAGCAGGAGGCGCTGCGGGCGCAGCAGGCCCAGGAGGGCGGCCTGACCTCCCCAGCGGGCTCCTCTGGAAACGACGCGCCCCCCAGCGGCGGCGAGGAAGACGCGGAGCTGCCGGAGTCGCTGTACAGCTGTATGCAGAATCCCTCCCTAGTCTTCAGTCCTGAACCAGTGGAGGAAAACCAGTCACCCGCTCCACCACTGGCGGAGGAAGAGGAGAAAAATGACGAGGAGAGTGACGAGGAGGAGTGTGATGGAAAGGAGGAAGAGAGCGAGGAGGAGAGCGAGGGAGAGGATGATGAGGCAGAAGCCCAGGACGAAGATGAGGTGGAGGAAGGAGAGGAGGGGGAGACGGAAGTGGAAGAGGAAGAGGAAGAAGAGGAGGAGGGGCTGGAGGAGGATGAGCAGAGAGAGGAAGAGGATCATTTGCCCCTGGAAATGCCTTTGTCATTCCTAGTGGGGGCTGACGAAGAGAGAGAGAACTTTATAAACTGTCCTTATTTAAGCCCCAAACAGATCATTCCCAAAGTGCCACAGGAAGCGCTCCTGTTGTTACAGGACATTAACTGTTAGGCATCAGGAAAGGGGTTGAGGAATGGGATGGAACTGATTAGAAGCTAAATTGGATTAGCAACTTAAAAAAAAAAATTAATTAAAAAGTGAGTTCCATTAATAAACATCTATGTAAACCCCTTCTTTGGCTATTATAAAATATTTAAAAATTGCTGTGTTTGTGTATGACTATGGGTGGGGGAGGGGAAGCTCTCCAATATAATTTAATTGGAAATGATTAAAGGCCAAATATTTTATTACTACAGTCTGAACATTTTCATTTGATATTTCCCTTCTGCACACCTGAGTTTTTAAAGATTCTGGCAATGCTTAAAACTCTTTTTATAACAAATGTATAAAGTTTGTCGACTTAATGAGCTTGGAATCAACAGCCTCTTTGACTTAAATGCGTAAGAAGCAAGTGCCATTCAGTGCTCTTAATATGGTAACTCAAATCATCTTAAAACATCTATTATTATTTTTTTTAATTCCTTGTAGATTTTTCCACCTTCAGAGTTCCATTTTGAGAGTTGTATTTTGGTAACCCCATTTTCAGTCTCTTGTGGCATCGCTCATTTATATTCCTTGTTCCACAGTGCTATGGACCTTCCTCAGAAGAACATGAAGTTGCTTCTGTGGAACTGGTTATCTGCCATGGCCTCAACAATCCATAAATCCATGCATGGAGAGGATTCCCCATGGTCAGAAGTCAACTTGCACATCTAGTTAAAATCCAAGGTAACTGCAAACAATGGAACATGGCTTAGATTTTGAAGCCTTTTTCCTGATGTACTCCTTGTCATAAGTTCACAGGAATCATAAAAATTGTTTTTGCAGAATGGATTTTTTTAAGATTAGTGACCTTTTGGGGGTGGAATAGCTTATTTCTTTCAGTTTTTCTGCCTTATAAAGGAGAGTAAAACAAAGATGTGTAAGTGCACGCTTGTGTGAGCTAATTTTCAATGTCTAAACAACTAACTGTGGAAAATATATCATTTGCAATGATAGCTTTTATTTAGATCTTTTTAGGAAGTAATAACATTTCTTCCTGGACACTTAATTTTCATAACTTAATAAAAGTTTTTATCCATAGCATATTTCCAGAATAGGTTGAATCTTTAGAGGAAGAATTTGAGCCTGCCTCCTCAAAAATTACTTTTCGACAAACTGTACTTCAAAGTATAGTTCGAACTACAATTTAATATTTATTTGGTGAAGAGAAGACTGGTATGATGACACCTTACTTGAATGTTGATTTTTACTTATATATCCCAGTATATTAAAGCTTTCAGAGTGACAAGCTTGTTATTAAAAAATAAATAAAATTTAAAAAAAATAAAGTGTTAAATGAAAGTACCCTGCTTCACACTTTTATTTAAATATCAAATATCTATTCAGCCAGACTTCAGTAGCCAACAAGATGAAAAGAAGAAGCAAAACTAACACAAACATTGTAGAAAATTTTAAATAATACCAAACGCTCCAAACTATAGCAATGAATAACCACTTAATTATACTCTAAGAAATCATTTCCTGCAACATGCAGTTTCTGAGTTACTTATAAAAGTAGTTTAAAATTGGTCACCCATTTGCATTTCTAATGTATATATGCAGGGAGGAACCGAGAATCCTGCTCTTGGTTAATCCTGATGCTGGTCAATAAATCTTTACAAGTCATAGCCCCCAAATACTTTACCCAATATACTCAATCACTAAGTCTTAAGTATATTCTCATCCAAAAAAAAAGAACCCTATCATTTAGGACTGAATTTCTTCATAATCACATCTAGACAATTCTCAATTTATTCTTACGAGATCCTACTTTTACATTTTAAAATGCAGAACATCGTTTCCATATGCACAAATTGTTATTCACTGTTCATTGTAGAGGATATAAACATGAACAATGCCTCAGTTTACTTCACAGATCATTAGCCAAGAAATATTTGCTGAACTACTAGAGGCCAAGTACTGTAAAGAGTGTTAAGGGCACAAAGGTGAATAAGCAAAACCCCTACTCTCCTGTTTCTTATAGTTTAGTAGAAAAGACAAACATTAAATGAAGAGTTGGACAAATTAATGACTGCAACTGTTCTAAAGAAAATGTACCACTATGAGAGTCTATATCACAAGGAAACCCAAGAGTGAAGCTGGGAACGTTTACTGTGGGTGGAGGAAGCTGTGAGTCTGAAGGCGGAGAGCTAGGAGGATCTTGGTGCCTTTGAGGACCCTAGTGTCCCCTAGGAGCGGACAGTGAGAATCGAGAGAGGCAGGAAGAAGCCATATTACCTCTTCATACCTGTGCTATCTTCTGAATAGACAGATATTGGCCACACATTGCGGTGGTCCCTTGACTAATCCTGAAGAATGATATCAAATGATTAAATCATGTTGGGCAATGGGAGATTGGTCTTCCCCGTACACCTATTACCCTTTTCAGAGACATCCCCACACTATCATATAATGTCTGAGCTCTCAGGAATTGTTGTTCAGCATGACTGGAGCACCACAGTTATAAACTCCTATGGAGAACCTGTGCAGAGCTTGTTCAGTGCAACTTGATGATGATTCAATGGATCAGTGTTAGTCTGGCTCAGAATACACCCAGTCTTTAGTTTTAGAGGTAAGTGTATGCTTAAAGAAAACACAGTTTTCTAAAACAAGCTCATTATTCTTGAAGTCATTTGAAACTTGTTGAATGAACAATAATAATGAAGTGCCATTTAGCCATTTCTTCAAGAATGGAATTATTTCCTTTGTCATTTTTCAGAAAAATAACATAAACCATCAATCTGTTTAGAATACCTAGGCTTGATAAGAATCTTTACTGTCTATTCTCTGTGTTTTTACATGTAGAGATTCTGATATTTTCCTTTCCTAGTGACTGACAGCATTTCTTGATTTATCTTCATTACTTTGTCTGCACAGTAACCTCAAGAGATTTTATTTTCTGTGAAAATTTTAGCCCTCTAAGGATGATAAATATGTTTGACATTTAGAGATCAGCTGAATTCTGACTATGGTTTCATAAAATTTTATAACATCTGCATATGAAGAAGACAGTAATTCCAACATATTTAGTTTAATTAAAATAAACACATGAGGTGAAATAACCAGTCTTCTGCCAGCTATACCAAACCTACAGAGCTCAAGAAGAAAATGATACAAATATCACCCTATTGGTGGTCTTGGGCCAAGGGAGTAAGATAATAGCTTCTTTAATTTAAATGTTAGCAGCATAATAAAATGATACATGTTGTTTGTATTTACACAGGTTCAAATTAATGCGATCACAATTGAAAATTACTGTTAATGGTTCCGAATCACTTTGGCCTTGGATATTTGTACATTTAAAGCAAAATCAGAATGTGGATCTATCTTAACTATTTCAGTAATAGATTGTTCTGTATCAATTTTTACTTTTAGCCAGTAATGGAACATAGCCTATTATCAAGTTCATCTGATGGAAGAGAAGAGTCTGAGAATGTGTATGTTATCACTGTTGCCTAACAAACCTGGGGTGGTAGCCTTGGGTCTCTGTTTCCTTAAACATAATTGTCATACTCCATTACTTCTGAGGCCTATTGTGAAGCCCAAATAACCAAATATTGAAGAAGAATTACATTATAGACTGTAAATCACTGTTAATCATCATACACTAAATTACATTTTATAATCAAAATTATCATCTCAATTTCTGAACATGAGATTAATCTAGATTCATTAACAAGGCTCAGGAAATCTCATCTTATTGCAATTCTTTTGGACCGAGGTATCCAGATATTTTAGTTGTTGCCACTGAACTAAGAATAAATCTACTTGTCTTAAAATTTAATTTTGCTTCTGGTAAAATGGTGTGCAAATTTAGTGGTCTTGGCACCTTGATATTGAAAGAGTGGTTCATGGATTAGCACTATTGGCACCGAGTGGAACCTTGTTAGAAATGCAGATGCCCTGACTCAGGCCAGACCTACTGAGTTAGAATCTACTTTGTAGCAAGACCTCTAAGTAATATACATGCACATTAAAGATCTAGAAGCTCTGTGGTTTAGGGGTTAGATTCATTGCAGAGCCCTCATATTAATTTAATGTTTAAGATTGTGGTTTACTACTTCCATTAATTATTACTTCCATTATTTACTACTTGAGTGACCTCAGACATGTAACTGATGTTTTGGCTTCTCATTTTTTAAAAATTGTTTATTATTATTTATACCTATAGCACCTGGTCTTCCTAGGCAGTCTCCCCTCCAAGTACCGACCAGGCCTGACCCTGCTTAGCTTCTGAGATCAGACATTGGGCTTGTTCAGGGTGGCATGGCTGTAGACCATGGACTGTGGCACCACTGGGGCATGAACCAAGGACCTTCTGCATATAAAGCAGATGTACTAACCACTATACTATGGAACCACATCCCTCATTTTCCTTATCTGTAGTATCTGCCTCATAATATTATAAAGATTAAATTGTCCAATACTTACCCAGAACTCAGAGCAATGATAATCAATGTTTACCTAGTTTTAATAAGTATTTAACAATACACAGATGAGACCATTGACATATTATGTGCTATCTAAAAGTCACGTGTTAATGATTAAAACAACCATACATAAAATTTTACAAGATAATTAACAAAGTGATTTATTAACTCTGTCTTGTTTTCCCTTGGGTAACTGCAATCAGGTATACTACCTTGAGCTGCACGTACCATGATGCAGACTATGAGAACCAGCTAAATCTCTAGAGCTGGATTCATTCAAAAAATATGCTTTCTGGCCTTTATCTCCTTCTCCCACTGCCAGTAAATGATGTTTCCTTTCCTCTTATGGCTAACATTAATACCTTAATATGGCTAATACTAAAAATTACCCATTCAGGTCAGGGTCATTTTTTCCGATACAAGCAATGAATATTAGAATGCATCTTTTCGAAAATCAAAATACATGCATTGTAATGCTTAAAGATGAAGATTCCGTCTTATGCTATACCTAAATATATTGAAAATTCCAATAAATGTTAA